AGGCCTGCCAACTCAAGAAAAAAATAACTAGTCCGCCATCTTAAGCCCGCGAATTTTTAATTGAAAATTCACTTTACTTTTTGGCCACAGTAGTAATATTCATTAACCCAACAAGAAAGGAAAGCTAACTTCGGACGGAGCCGAAGTTGATATACCCTTGCAGAATATTCTGTAAATTATATTCTTCAAAATTATTCATATGATGTATTCTTAATACTCAGAAAAAGTCCCAACTTCCTAACTTTAAAAACCAAAGTTATGGCATTTCCAATCGTTCAGTTATATGGCAGCTATAGGATATAGTCGGCCGATCCTTATGAAATTTGGTAGGTCGGATTGATTGGCCAAAAATAAAACCCATAGAAAATCCCAACTTCCTAACTTTACAAACACCAAAGTTATGGCATTTCCGATCAATCAGTTATATGGCGGCTATAGGATATAGTCGTCCGATCCTTATGAAATTTTGTAGGTCGGATTAATTGGTCAAAAATAAAACTCATAGAAAATCCCAACTTCCTAACTTTAAAAACATCAACGCAGCTATATGATATAGTCGCCCGATCCGGCTCGTTCCGACTTATATACTACCTGCAATAGAAAGACAACTTTTGGGAAAGTTTCAAGCAGATAGCTTTAAAACTGAGGGGCTAGTTTGCGTAGAAACGGACGTACGGACGGACAGACGGACGGACAGACGGACGGACAGACGGACAGACGGACATGGCTAGATCGACTCTCCTGGTGATGCTGATCAAGAATATATATACTTTATAGGGTCGGAAATGACTCCTTCACTGCGTTGCAAACTTTTGACTGAAATTATAATACCCTCTGCAAGGGTATAATAATAAATACGCCCGTATTGTTATGGTATCAAGTCTGAAAAGTAGCAAAAGACAAAATATTCTTGCCGCATCGAAATGAAATAAACGCACACATGCACCCCTGTATGAGAATGCAAGAATACGCATACATATAAAGACCAATTCAAGCGCAGGCGCAACCTTGAAATGACCACAATGTTGCATAGTTAGTGCTTCAAAGTACTCAAAAGCAAAATTTGCTAAATGTATTTAGCTGGCTGTGACCCCATGGTGTACCCAAATCATTTATTTTTACAAGTATTCATCTATCGCCTGCATCCAAAGCTGACATTAAAAACAAAAGTAAATGTGTTATAAAAACTTCTGAGCGAGCACTATTTATACCCGTTACTCGTAGAGTAAAAGGGTATATTGTATTCGTGCAAAAGTATGTAACAGGTAGAAGGAAGCGTTTCCGACCATATAAAGTATATATATTCTTGTTCAGGATCACTAGCCGAGTCGATCTAGCCATGTCCGTCTGTCTGTCCGTCTGTCTGTCTGTCTGTCTGTCTGTCCGTATGAACGCTGAGATCTCGGAAACTATAAAAGCTAGAAGATTGACATTTTGCATGCAGATTCTAGGAGTTCCTACGCAGCGCAAGTTTGTTTCACGCCCCCTTTAACGCCCACAATCGCTTATATACGATTTTAAAAATTTAAATATTTCGAAAAAGTAAAAATGCAGTTTTATTGTGTTTATCAATACCTATCGAAATGTAACGGGTATCTGATAGTCGAAGCACCCGACTATAGCGTTCTCTCTTGTTTTTATTTAAAAAAATTTAAGTGTTCTTACCTGGGAAGTACTTAAAATCACTTTAGATTGTTTTTTTTCCGTTCCAGTAAATATCATTAACGAATTTAAATTTGGGGAAAATGATATTATAGAATCATAGCCGTGGGTACATAAAATATTCCTTGAACGATGTTCCAGTAAATGAATACCTTTTTGGTCAATTGCTAGCCACAGCATTCGGGGCCAGTTTGAAGTAAAGCTTTGCTGAAATTTTAAAGTAATTACCGTTATTCATAGACTAATATATTTTTAGATTAAAAGCTAATTTAAATGTTTCGATTACTTCTCAGAGCCGTTTTCCAGGGGCATGAAATTGGGATTATAAACTTTGTTGTTGCAAACCAATTCAACATTTGCCCTTAAATTCATTATACATTAATGGTGGTTTGGGTTTTCAATATAAAACTTTTTTACAAAATTATTTTTGCTCTATTAGGGATTATCAGGGCTACTATTAGTACCAGAATCCGTGCTTACCAAAAGATGGCACCTGAGGATATATTTAAAGCTTTACAGCTAACTTTACAGGACTAATCATTTTTTGTGTTGTTTATGAAGAAAAAGCTCTGTCGGTAAGACAATATATAGTAAGGAAATACAGGTTATAACCAGAAGTTGATCTAGCCATATCCTTTTGCCCGTCCTTTACGAAAACTAGTCTGTCAATTTTAAACTTATCTGCGTAAAACTTTTCAAAAAAGTCCTATGTAACGGTTATTTGAAAAAAAATATAACTGAATGTTTTTAAACATATTTTTTTACAAATTCTGAAAATGTTTTCTTTATTCTGATAGGTCGATTACACAGGCCAACAATTTTTAGACCCAAGAACTAGACACACTTTTTCTTATGCAATTTTTCGCGCTGAATCCAAATCCAGCACCCACAGTTTTTGAGATATTCTAACCTAAAAGTGTGAAATTGGACGTTTTTGGGTGCTGGAGCAATTTTGGCACCGGATTTGGATTCAGCGCGAAAAATTGCATAAGAAAAAGTGGGTCCAGTTTTTGGATCCGAGATTTTCTAAAATTTTGTTAAATAATAACACAGGCCTTATTTATTAAGGTTAAACCGTTATTCTGAAATTGATAAAAATGTTGGCACTTCTAATTTAACGCCCACAACTCACAATACAAAAAACCTCGTAGCCCAAGGTATTGGGAGGAGTATGTCAAAATCGCATTTAAAAACGTCTTCAGTCAATATCAACAATATTACAACTCGCACTATTACGTTAGAAGTTATAAGACATATTAAGAGTTAATTATATATTCATATATTTGAGAGAGATGGAGAAAACTGTTGGCGGGGGTGCTGCTCGCTCTCAGTTTGTGGTGTTTGCACTGCAAATCAGCAAATGGCGCTTCCTAGAATGTATTTATATATTTTAAAACTGGTAAGCTTAGTAACGAGTATCTTATATTCGTGGCACTCGCCTAACCGACAAGATATACAAAATATATGAAAATGGTAAAATCAAATTGTGGTAACAAAAGTACTAATCGTTTCAGAAGCGGCAGAAATTCAAAATTTGAGATTATGAGAACAAGTCTATTATAATCAGAACATAATACTCTGAAAGGATCATGCAAGTCATTGTTAGATCTACAATGTATAAATATTAGGGGAATATCATTTCTAGTTAATCTACTTGGTACAAAAAAGTTAAGCCGACCTACCAAGTGGGGGCTTTCAATGTCACCATTATTAAGGTTATAATTAAAGACAGTACCAAGCATTGTTCTACAGTTAGATAGGAGGAGAAAATTAATTAACACAAGTCTACACGAATAAAAGGGGTAAGATAATACTCCATTCTAGTTCAGGTGCTGTAAAGTAAAAAATAGATCGTGATTCGTATCGTGGACTCCAGATTGGAGACCCATACTTTAGAATGGGATGGCCAAGCGGAATAAATAAAGTATTAATGTCATAAGGACTCTTTCCACTAGCTTTTAATGAAACCAAACTCGCTTCTGGCTTTATTCACTATGGACCAAATATGACCAAAAGACGCCAAGACCTGTCCAAAGACCTGACATATAACAAATTAGTGGATTTGTCATCAGCTTGCACTTAGGCCCGGAAACAGTTATATATTTAGATTGAAGTCAATGGCAGGAAATATCATTATACTGCATTCACAATTTAACGTCATTTGCGTACAACAGTAAAAGATCGAGAGATTTAAAGAATTTTCTGAAGTCAGTGTAGATGACGTCTGCTTGACAACTCCTTTTCACAAATAAAGTGATAACGTTAGTTGTTGTTTATCTTAGTGTCATAAATCTGTGTAGACAAGGAGATGTTATGTATATAAAAGGTGCTGCAAATTTGGAGTAAAAATATTTTCCAAAAGCTTACGGATAACTTGTTACCTTTCCTGTGAAGGGGAATTTCAACTAAATTCCTTCCAAATACGGGAAAATTGGGAAGTTTCTAGAGATATTGTGGAGAATTTGAGAAGGTGTTGGCAGTTTTCAGGCACACACCCAGGCACACCATCGCGACCTGGCAAATAAACAGGCCTGATCTTTAAAAGACAGCGAGGAAGATAAGAATTAGACGTTCGCCATTAAAACTGCTATAAACTGTTTCGGGTCATGCGGGAACTGCACCTAACAACGGTTTAAATAATTACTATAATCTTAGCATTAAGATGGGTTAAGCCAAAAAAAAGATTGAGAACCGATTTCCTACAAAGACTGTACTTTTTATTTCTTAAGTGGAGCTAAACCACGGAAGACAGGAATACGAAAACGATTATTTGAGCCGTACAAAATATTTAGGGCCATATTACTGCAAGAGTTCATTTCAGACCAAGTAAAGCCAGAAAAACAATTATTTAGTCTCAGAAAGTCTGTCTTGCGAAAAGCGTTTCCGACTCATTATATATTCCTTGATGAATTCCTCACGATCAATAGTCTACCAATTTTGCCTTTACAACGTCGGAGGTTTCGCCAGCAATTGTGTCTGGTGAATTTTATCATTTATCATTTTATGATTCATTTTGAACTTGGTAGAAAGCTGAGCCTTACCCTAAAATTATAATTTCTTTAATATTCCCCCTTTGGGCGGTTGCTTTGTCGGCCCATCGTGCAATATTTTACACTATTTTTTATATCAGATTCCGTTAATTCTTGATCTGATAATTCGGCTCTTCTAAGTCAATTTAAGCTGATTCTGTTGATTCTGTTTTATCAGTGTTTAATCCGCTGCCTAATGGGAGGCAGCCAAAGGTGATATTTGCCCTTGTGTAAATGCCAGTTGTTGTTGTTGTTGCGCCGCCTCTGCCCTGTGCAGATGGCGGAGCTTGATCCAAAAATTAAAGCAAATTAAGTCAATGATGGCCATTGCTGAGGTGGAGCGTTGTCTTCATGGATCATGATCAGCTGCCCCGGAACTATGTTCGCCTTTGGAGATAGCCACTTGCTGCGGGCCTGCAAGGTGTGCAAGTAATCTCGTCGCCAAAGCTCCCAGAATTGTTGCTTGATGTAGGTGAACCGTTGCCAACGTGTCAAGTGCGATAGGTTGCATTCCTCTAAACTTGGCTCTGGAAGTGCCTTTAAAAACGTTCCGACCAACAAATGCGATGGAATGAGGGCTTCTCCATCGTTTGGATCTTCTGGAAGAGGCGCGAGGGGTCGTGTGTTGACAACCGCTTCAGCATCAGCTGCGACAGTTTGGAGTTCCTCGTACGTCAAATGCGCGTGACCAGTGTTTTTTACCAATACAAGTTTCATGGACTTTACCGCAGCTTCCCACAAGCCTCCAAAATGTGGTGCGCGGGGTGGAATGAAGCTAAATTCTACGCCATTAGATGAGGTGAACATTTGTAGGTCCTTCAACGCTTGATGGCTAAAGAGTTTCATTTTATATTCCTCTAATTGAGAGCGGGTTCCAATGCAGAATATCCGACTTGGCAAACTTCTCCGCCCGATGAAGCGCTTTAAACATAGAATAATAGTATTAGTTGAAAGGTCAGATACTTATTCTACATGTACTGCTTTGGTGGCAAAGCAAACAAAGACCGCAATGTATGTTTTGTACGGAGCCTTTCCGCGAATACGATAGGACGTCAGTAGTGACCCCTTGATCTAGTCCAGCAAACGAGGCTTGTAGTGATAACAACGGACACAGTTGCGCACCACTTTGCTAACCAGTCGACGAGAATTAACGATCCATGCTTCGAGACGTAAGATACCGATTAGAGCCTAGGGCCCTGCGCGCCTGTTAGTTTGGTAAACAAATTCGACGAGTTTATATGTGAATGTGTGATCTTTTGGCAGTAAAGGTGGTTACTTTGCTTCTACTGGTATTTGCGCATTTGCGCCAACACGAATGAGTGTCACCGTGCGAGTTCCTATAGCTGATTCCGACAGAAAGCGTGTCAGCCTTTGAAGATCTGCGCTGAGGACTTTACCCTTCTTTAAACAATCTATTTCCTTCCAATACGTTTGATTCTGAATAAGTCCTACAATAAACAGGAACGAGTGCTGCATCTTAGTCGCTGACATATCAACCGCTTGCGAGGTTTTTGCTTGCAAGAATCTTGTTAAACGTAAGCTGTTACTCAAAGAACACAATAATACGAAGAAATTCGATTCAGAATATGATCAAGGATGTTTTCTTTAGATCCGGTTCATTTGAATGATGACATTTTTCGTTTTTCAAGATCCGCATCTATGGTTTCGAATCGCAAAGGAATGACTTTAATTGGGGCAACCTTTGACTTTGCTATGAGTAAATGCGATTCTACTGATCCATTTTGAATTGAGCGCAGATATAAAACAACCGTATGCACGCTGTGATGCATCTGGGAATCCATGTATTTCGGTCATGCTTCGGGGAAAAGACGGGTTCTCGGATATCTCTCTCGCGATAGCGAAGTGCAAAAAACGTCTACAAAGACCACCCGGCTCTACTGTCAGTCGATACCCAAAGAGCATGATCGTTGTCACCCTCTTTACTCACTGTTACTCCCACTCCAACGTCATGAAGTTCTCAATGTACACCACCCCCAACCATCAGAATCGACCCTTGGCACATCAGCAACATGCAACAGTAAAACTTCTGCAATCGCACCAAAAGTAACAGTAACAACTACAGCAACGGCAGCAAAACCAACCACTTCTACAGCAACTACTCCTACCGCGGAATCGACTGCGATGTCGTCGTCTGCAGCGCCAAATATAACGTCAACTAAAATTATGACAAAACAAAACCAAGAAAATATTCAAAATAATAATTATCAAAACAAATTTAACAACAATCAGCAGAGACAGAATAAGTTCGACTAATAGACGTTGGGGTTACAACAATAATTATAATAATTCAGGAAATTCAGTAAATAATTATTATCCTAAAAATTCTCAAAATAATCAAGGACAGGGTAGCCAGAGCACTCAGAGTACCAATATTCCGCAAAAACGTCCCTGAGTTTCAGAATCAGATTAACAACGCAAGTCTGAACCAATGGACACATTTGAAAATTTTCAGACAACAGACTCTGACGAAACATAACAGCCATAAAATTTGATAATAAACTATGCCTCTGTCTTATCGATACAGGATCAAGCATAAATTTAATTAATGAAAACTTCTTTGAACACCCAATTAAAAATAATTATACTAAAATTGAAACTATAGGTGAATCTGTCTCTTTGAATAAATATATCCAGTTTAGTATTCCAAAAATATTTTCATCCAAACAAACATTTTACATAAACAACTTTTAAAAGCATTATGACATTCTTATTGGAAGAAAATGTTTAAAAGAATCACCTGCAAAAATTGATTTTATGAAAATCACTATCGAATTAAATATATATGAATTCCCAATGGTAAATATAACGGAAAAACCTAAACAAACTTTTTCAAATGTAGTAGATGATAAGGAATATATTTATGCCTTACAAACAGATTTATCTGACAATACATAAGAGACGATCACTTAAATAATGAAGAAAAAACTGAACTTCATTATTTAATGTCAAAATAGTTTGATATTCAGTATCACGAAGGTGAAAATTTGACTTTCACGAACGAAATCAAACACGTTATAAAAACAAAACATGAAGAACCAATTTATAGTAGACCATATATTTACGATACAGAAGTAGAAAAACAAATTGAAGAAATGATAAGACAAGGTATTATCACAAAATCCAAATCTCCTTATTGCAGTCCAATTGTAATGGTACCCAAGAAAAGGGATGCATCGGGCATACCCAAATTTCGTATGGCTATCGATTACAGAGGATTGAACGAAAAAACAATTAATGATAAATTCCCTATTCCGAACATGGACGAAATCTTAGACAAGTTAGGGAAATGTCAATATTTTACAACATTAGATCTTGCTAAAGGGTTCCATCAAATTGAAATGGACTTAGACTCTATTCAAAAAACTGAATTTTCCACTAAGGAATGTCACTATGAATATACTAGAATGCCCTTTGGTCTTAAAAACGCACCCGCGTCGTATGAATAATGTATTACACGACATAATAGGTACCCATTGTCTAGTATATTTAGACGACATTGTTATATTTTCTACCTCTTTACAAGAGCACATTCAATCTCTTAAAAAAGTATTCGAACGTCTTCGCAGTTCAAATCTCAAACTACAATTAGATAAATGTGAATTTATGAAACGAGAAACGGAATTCTTTGGTCACATAATTTCAACCGAAGGAATCAAAGCAAATCCAAATAAAATTCAAGCTATTCAAGATTTTAGAATTCCAAACTCTCCAAAACAAATATAATCATTTTTAGGCCTTTGTGGATTTTATCGAAAATTTATAAAAGACTTCGCAAAAATTGCAAAACCTTTGACTCTTTGCTTAAAGAAAGGATCAAAAATAAATATAAGCGATCCTAGTTACAATGAAGCGTTTGAAAAATTAAAAACTTTAATAAGTAACGATCCAATTCTCATTTATCCAGATTTTGAAAAGAAGTTCGATTTAACTACAGATGCAAGCAATTATGCATTAGGTGCAGTTGTATACCAAAAAGGCAAACCCATTTGCTTTGCCAGTATAACATTAAATGAACATGAGTTAAATTATGCAGCTATTGAAAAAGAATTATTAGCTATTGTATGGGTGACTAAGTATTTCCGCCCCTATCTCTTTGGAAGAAGTTTTAAAATATGCTCTGACCATAAACTGCTTGTTTGGTTACATAACATAAAGGAACCTAATATGAAATTACAACGTTGGAAAATAAAACTTAGAGAGTTTGATTATGAAATAAAGTACATTAAAGGGAAAGAGAATTACGTAGCAGATACATTGTCAAGGATTACAAGGAAGGAAACTAAAGATAACAAAATCGAAGAAGTATTTCAAAATGAAGACGATTTAGATACTACTGCAGCAACGGTGCATAGTGCACAAGAAGATAACGGTGATTGCATACAAATTACCGAACGACCAGTTAACTTTTTTAATCACCAACTTATATTTGAAAAGGGAAATCAAGACACTAACGAACTTACTCACTTCTTTAATAAAACTATTAATAAAATAATTTACAGTGACATGACTGAAACCTTGGCAAAAGACATAATTATAAAATTCATATGGGGACACAATTTTGTTATGTACATTAATAATGACGAAGACTTTGCTATTTTTCAACGAGCCTATATGAAATTAATTAAACCAAATACGGGAACAAAATAAATGATAACTTCAGTTATACTTCCAAACTTGCCCACATATGCAGACTTTCACGAAAAAATATTATAAATACATGAAAAGACAATTCATCAAGGTATAAAAAAAACTTATGACGATTTTAAAACTAAATACTATTTCCCAGACCCACAAAAACTTATTCAAAACATTGTTAATAAATGTGAAATTTGTAATTTATGCAAAGCAGAGCACAGAAAAGTTGCTCTTCCTTTTGGAAAAACTCCAGAAACCAAAAATATTCGCGATAAATATGTTGTAGACTATTATTTTATTGACCAACGTAAATTTTTAACATGTATCGACATTCATTCAAAATTCATTTCTATTATTGAAACCAAAACGACAGATTGGATTGAAAGTAAAAAAGCTCTTCTAAAAATTTTTAGTATGATAGGTAAACCAAAAACAATTAAAATGGATCAAGATCCTGGCCTAGTATCTAAATCATTACAAAATTGGTTACAAAAGGAAAATATCAATATTGAAATTACAAATAACAAGAATGGTATAGACGACATAGAAAGGGTCCATAAAACAATTAATGAAAAGCTTAGAACTATTAATACACTTACAGACGCAGAAGATAAATTAATGAATATAGAAAAAGCGACATACGTTTATAATCATGAAATAACCCATGATGCCACAGGTCAAACTATTTCTTTATGGCATAAAACCGAACAAAAATATACAAAAACGGAAAGAATACAAGATAGATAAAGTTAATAAAAACCGCGAGGAACATGAAATAGATTTGGAATACACTAAAGTTAAAAAAGAAATGAAACCTAAAGCTAAATTAGTAAACCCATTCAAAAAGACAGGAGCACTAGAACAAAAAGATGAAAAGCACTGGCAAGAAACTAATAGGGGTCATAAAGTAATAAAACACAGAAGTAAATTCAAAAAAGCTAAAATGCATAATCTCTCTCATCATTCCAGGGAGACTGAAAGTACTAACTCTGATACTGAAATTGATCATGATAGTGACATGGACGAAAATACAATTGATAACAGCTTAAAAACAAGAGAGAACGCTATAGCCGGGTGCCCCGACTATCAGATACCCGTTACTCAGGTATAGGGAGTGCGAGGGAGATGGAGATAGAAACTTTGATCACGCATAACTTTTTAACGAATGGTCCGATTTGAAAAATTTCTTC